CAGGTGCGCCAGGTGCGCCCGGTGTGCCAGGTGCGCCAGGTGCGCCAGGTGCGCTAGGTGCGCCAGATGCGCCAGGTACGCCAGGTGCGCCAGGCGCGCCAGGTGCGCCAGGTGCGCCAGGCGCGCCAGGTGCACCAGGTGCGCGCCAGGTGCTCCCAGCACGCCAGGTGCGTCAGGTGCGCCCAGCGCGTCAGGTGCGCGCCAGGTGCGCGCCAGGGGTGCGCCAGGCGCGCGCCAGGTGCGCCAGTTGCGCCAGGTGTGCGCCACGTGTGCGCCAGGTGCGCGCCAGGTGCGCCAGGTGCGCCAGTTGCGCCAGGTGTGCCAGGTGCGCCAGTTGCGCCAGGCGCGCCCAGTGAGCCAGGTGCGCCATGTGCGCCAGGTGCGACAGGTCCAGGTGCGACAGGCGCGCCAGGTGCGCCAGGTCTGCGCTAAGTGTGGCAGGTGCACCAGGTGCGCCCAGCGCGCCAGGTGCGCCAGGTGCGCCAGATGCACCAGGTGTGCCAGGCGTGCGCCAGATGCACCAGGTGTGGCAGGTGCGCGCCAGGTGCGCCAGGTGCGCCACTTGCACCAGGCGCGCCAGGCGCGCCAGGTGCGCCAGGTGCGCCAGGTGCGGCAGGTGCGTCAGGTGCGCCGAGCGCGCCAGGTGCGCCAGGTGCGCGCCAGGTGCGCGCCAGGTGCGCGCCAGGTGTGCCAGGTGCGCCAGGTGCGCCAGGTGCGACAGGTGCGACAGGTGCGCCAGGTGCGCCAGGCGCGTCAGGTGCGCCAGGTGCGCGACAGGTGCGCCCAGCGCGTCAGGTGCGTCAGGTGCGCCCAGCGCGCCAGGTGCGCGCCAGGTGCGCCAAGGGGACAGGGAAGGCTCAAAGTGGTCTGCGTAAGACGTGCCTCCGCTGGGCCTCCCAGGAACCCACGAAAGTGGGGACAGTTGCGCAGATCGCAGCCCCCCAGGGGACAAGGAGGCCTCAAGTTGGTCTGTGTATGACGTACCTCCCCTGGGCCTCCCAGGAGCCCACGATAGTGGCGACAGTTGCACAGATCGCAGCCCCCCCCAGGGGACAGGGAGGCCTCAAAGTGATCTGCGTAAGACCCACCTTCGCTGGGCCTCCCAGGAGCCAACGAAAGTGGCGACAGTTGCGCAGATCGCAGCCCCGCAGGGGACAGGGAGGCCTCAAAGTGGTCTGCGTAAGACGTACCTCCGCTGAGCCTCCCGGGAACCTACGAAAGTGGCGACAGTTGCGCAGATCGCAGCCCCGCAGGGGACAGGGAGGCCTCAAAGTGGTCTGCGTAAGACGTACCTCCGCTGGGCCTCCCCGGAACCCACGAAAGTGGCGACAGTTGCGCAGATCGCAGCCCCGCAGGGGACAGGGAGGCCTCAAAATGGTCTGCGTAAGACGTACCTCCGCTGGGCCTCCCAGGAACCCACGAAAGTGGCGACAGTTGCAAAGGGAGGCCTCAAAGTGGTCTGCGTAAGACTTACCTCCGCTGGGCCTCCCAGGAACCCACGAAAGTGGCGACAGTTGCGCAGATCGCAGCCCCGCAGGGGACAGGGAGGCCTCAAAGTGGTCTGCGTAAGACGTACCTCCGCTGGGCCTCCCAGGAGCCCACGAAGTGGCGACAGTTGCGCAGATCGCAGTCCCGCAGGGGACAGCCAGGAGCCCACGAAAGTGGCGACAGTTGCGCAGATCGCAGCCCCGCAGGGCACCGCGAACACAGGAGAGAAGGAGGGGAGAGGTGCTCTATTCAAAACGAGTACCCAACACAAGGAAGGTTGGGAAAAAGATAACTGTACTCAGTGTGCCAAGCCCTGCTGTGAGGGTCACATCGACTGTTGTGCACGGGCCCGCATATGAATGACAACACTCTGCGCGAATCGCGACAGAGTGCAACGAGAGTCCAGGACACAGCCTGACCACAAGGGTTGAGGTGCTGATCCATCCGCCTGCCGTCCGGGACACGATGGCCTGTCATAGCGGCTGGCCCTCGAGGGATGAGGTTGGGGGTGAAGTGCGTAGGGATCGTTTCTCCCTTCCATCACTTCCTGCATCCCGCGCGCCGCGTGCCAACCCAGCAACGTGCCTGGCGACGAGCCGCATGCCATGCGCAAAGGATTGTCATTGAGCTCGCAGCTCCACTGGCGATGCTGCGGCCATTGATCTCCTGCCACTACGCTCTTGATGTATCCGTGGCCAACGGGCAACAGCTTCGAAAGGCTCCTCACAGGATGGCAGTTGCATCCATTCTGCACCTCAGGAACTCCAAGACGCCTAGCAACCTTACCCCAGAGCCAACACAGTGGCACACATTGCAGCCACGTAGCGATGATTCTGGTCCCTAACACTCTGGCCAGATACCTCTCCTAGCTCGGAGTGCCCCCAGCTCCACTTCCTCCTGCTCCTCTTCCTTCTTCCTCAATTCCCGCAACCTTCCTTATGAGTAATTCCTCCCTGTCGCACCACCAGGCGTGTCGTGAGGATGGGCTAGGCGCTTCGCCTGAGACTTTTTCACAACATATGATCTCGAGGCTGTCAAACATTCCACCAGTTACGTGCATGGGGAGCAGGTCTTTTCAACACTGTGTTCTCGCCGTGGCGCCGCGCGCACGTGCCTTACGATCATCCAAACGTTGCGCGGATGGAGGGCGGGCCATTTTCAAAAGGGGGTTCTTGTCTAGGCGCTGCGCACATTCGTCTTGAACCACTGCAACAGCTACACGAGTGGAGGGCGGGGCGATTTCATAATGGTGCTCTCGCGTTGGCGCCGCGCACATTCGTTTTCAACATTGGCAGCAGTTACTCGGATGGAGGGCGGTTCGTGTCCAAAATGACGATTCCGTGTCATAGTCTGAAGTTTCATGACCAGGAGCTTGGATTTGTGCAACACTCACACGGATGTGGGACTGCCTTCTTTTACAATGCGGCTCTCGCCAGACACTTCTCATAACGTTCTGCCAATACTCGTGTGAACTTTTGAAGCTTGTGTACGGGTGGAGGGCAGATCCTTTTCATGAACAGGCGTTCGCTGGAACTCCATTGACCTTTACGATCCTCCCCCTCTGACTTGTTCATAGCTGGACTGATCGAAGTGGGTCCTTTACCAAAGTCTCGCCCGCGGGGTGTTGGTCTGTTCAGGGGGGCGCCTGCTGCAGGCAGCGGAAAAGGAACACGAACACAGTAGTTTGTATAGACGTGTGAGGAGGGACCTTGGGGCGTGAGGGCGCGTTGCAGCATCGTTGATGCATCTCGGCTTTCCTTTGGCCCTCCCCCTCCTCGTCCTTTTCAGGGATATGGCTTCAGCGCCTGGGTGACAGAGGTAAGTCTTACAGAGCTTGGAGGAACCTCCGCAGGTTGCCGTCTCTCTCCTTCCCTGCCTCCTCCCTCCGAGTGGTTCTCCTGCCATACCTCGGCCTCCGGCGGCCACTCGGGACAATTCGGGCAACCCCTTGAACGCATTCGGAACGCACCCCGAGGCTGGCAAAGCGCCGGGCACCGACGAAATTTTGGGAAAACCTCGAGCTTCGATCCTCCAAAGTCTCCCTGGCGTTGCCCCTGAAGCCGTCGCTCTCGCTGAGCGTCGCCCTCCCTCCCTCTCGCACTCCCTCCCTCCCTCCCTCTTCTGGTGAGGCTTCGGGTGTAGCACAGGCAGCCCCCCAGGTCTTGCGATGCGCTGCAAGCAGCTCGGAGGCATGCCAACGTAAGCAGGGCCAGAAAGGTCAACTTGTTTAACGCCTGCGTCGTTTCCAAACTTACGTACAGTCTCGGGACACTTTGCACACGGCAGACCGAGTCAATATCGGCGCCGTTCAAGCAGAGTGTTTACGTACGATTTTAACCTTGCACATTCCATCAATTCATGTTAGCGATGCAGAAGTGCGAGGCAGAGCAAACCAGAAATGTTTAAGCAGGCAGGTGCCTGGCAAGTAATGGTTGTACTACGGAGAGCTGTCCGCCATGCCCGACGAGTCGCTGCCTCGCCACACTGTTTTCCAGAGCGGGAATTCGCGACTCCACGATCCCGGGGAACGCCGCAGAGGGCGTCCCAGATTACAGTGGGCTTTGGTCATGCACGCACGCGCTCGGACAATTGCAACGTGCATGCACGGCGGGGCCCTGAGCCAAGAAGAGGCCGCTCGACAAGCGTTCGGACAGGGCATGTTCAGTCGCCAAGCGTGGACAGAGGAGGTGTTGAGGTACTGCTTGTATCAGTTTCCAAACCAGCCAGGCGTCTTGGGGCGCAATTCTTATCATTTGTTTTAGGGGATGAATTTCAAAAAACTGCGCTTTGGCTCCACGTCCCTCGTCAGCCTGCCCTTTTGGTGGTGTCGTCGTCCTCTCTTCCGCCGTCCTGCGTCGTTCCTCTGCCTGCTTTTCCTCCTGCTCGTCCCTCGGGCGGTCGCCCGGGCTTCGCCCTCCTCCCCTCCTCTCGGGTGTCGTCCCGTCGCTCGCTCTCCTCCTTCCCCCGGCTCTGGGTTCGTCCTGGTCCCCGGGTGTCGTTGCCTCCTCTGCCCCGTGCTGCTGTTGGTCTCCCGGGTCGTCCACCATGCGGGCTTCCAGACAGGGCTGGGCGCGAGTGAGCAGATTCCTACATCACCCCTGACGTCGGTGTGCTGCTGTGCGTACGCTCACGCACGTGATTTGTAACCGATGTGCCGTCTAGGCACGGTTCCTGACCTGACCAGCCCCCCCAGGTAGTCCCCGGCGGATTCAGCAGGCCTCCCGAGTAGCCCCAGCTGGTCTCAACCTGCGGAGCGTCCAGGGGCGCCGCCGGAAGCGGCGCCAGGGTGTGCCGAGACCAGCTGGGACTACTCGGGGGGCCTGTCGAGGCCAGCTGGGACTATTCGGGGGGCCCGTTGAGGCCAGCCGGGACTACCTCGGGGAGCTGTCTGTGCGCAGCCCGAAGCCTCATCACCCTGCCTTCTCCTCCTCCTCCTCCTCCTCCTCCTCGTCCGCGCCCTCTTCGTCGTCCGCGCCCTCCCTCCGTCCGCCCTCCAGCACGGCGCCCCCGAGGACGAGCGGTGGCTGGTCAGGCGCGTGGCGTGCGAG